TTGTTACTTTACCGTACGTGAAGATGTCATATTAGAAACGAAACACTGCCAGAGAATTAATTGTGTACTGTGAGGGGAACTAAGCACGAATGAATTAACCATCTCATAGTTGTATAATATCAATACTGTAATCATTTTGCGCCAGTCCCCTGAGCTTGAATGTTTATACTATGGCGTCTGAATTTTGCAGTCGCTTTAGAAAATATGCATAAGGTATGCATGAAAATACCCTGTGGAATGTGGAATTGAACGATGTGTTTGCTGACGCATACATAGAAGTCTTAGTTGCTGTGTTACGCTATTTCATTTGTACGCTGTACAAATTAAATGCCGTTTTCCACCAAATGTTAGTTACAAGTATATATTTCAGATTGTGTGCGTAATTAGAATTAAATATTAGTATGTGTACCAGCAGTTTTTAAAATTGAAATCCCGTGGGCTACCAAAATCACTTTCATATGACAAAACTGCCATATTTTGCAATGCTACGTGGGTTGATCAATCATGAAATCTTCTGGGCATCAAATTAGGTCATTATAAACTTAAGTTGAGGAACATTTTAACATGCCTTAGATTATACATCTCTCCTCCATCTCTTACAACTCAAACGCATCGACATATGATGTTACATCATATTAGTCTGAATGGGACGTGAATTACTGATTGATCGAGAGATCAACTTAATACGGCGATAATGGTATGGTGGAATTGAATGATTACCATAGAATGAACGTGAAAGCTTGAGCTTCAATTGTCGCGAAAATTCATTTCTGCCATTATGAATTGTTGAAAATAACGGATTACAAGTCTTCCCCGAGAGGATTCCTTCTTTTAATAACAAGGTACAGACGAAAACACAGATGTTGAACGACTAACGTACACCACATGCTGTAGTGAACTTAACATTTGCATAATTAGCTACCGATGGAAAATCTTCTCGCTTTTCATTGTGTTCAACCAAAAAGCAACTATTATGGTGAAACGTGTATATCATATTGAAATGTACTGCATGAATGGTTGTTCACAATCATTGTTTTGATACGATGTACGTTTCAAATTTGTTATCCCCCAATATAGGCACACGAAGGTGTACTTTAATACAACATCTCAACACAAATACCGTTTGATTGCCATATTGTGTTTTTTTTACTCGTAATAGAAGTTTGTGTATATACATCTATGACCGACAATAGTTATCACTAATGAGTGGTGGGCAAAATTAGCACACATTCAAATAGAATTACACGGCCAGGTCTATACTAAATATACTTAGGTTCAAGTTATTTCCACTAGACCTCATTAAGTTACAGTTCATTCGCGCTGACGGTTATTGAATTACACTATTAAGCGCATTCTATAGAATAAACTTGCCGTGCTGTAAGCATGAACAGTCCCTTTTTATAAATGTTTAGCATGGGTAACTATGTCATCATCATATGAGACGTTCACCCATCTATTGGACGGGTACTTTGATTCAAGGCCACGTGTTCTATTAATGTATCGTTCTAATGTTCTCGTTATACATATAGTGCATACAGATGTTTGAACACGCTTCACTGTTCATGGGTAAATATCTTCCGGACATTACTGTACAATCCTACAATAATTATGTTTTTGCTGCGGACACGCGCCCCAGTTTATCATTTGAGTGTTCATCAAATATTCGGTCGTCAAACAGTATTGATAGTGAACAAAGAGTTAATTTTCATCAGAACACTAGAAACGTGTTACGAAGGACATAGTTCATCAATAATACAAAATGATTGTATTGTATTCGACACAGCTAAGAATAAAATGAATATATTATTCTTTCTGGTTAAAATTTAAAATATTTTTCAACGTGTATTTTCTGTGAATTCAACTTGTCATTTTACTCTAAATTTTTTGGACAACAAACAATCTATGATAACAACTACATGTGGTTTTCATGGAGAGTACTTGCTTATTTCTCGAATAATATATTGTGTGAGGTATCGAGGACACATCAATCGAGGAATATGCTTGCAATCAATAATAGTTGATATAGTTTTTTTTTGTTGCTTGCAGATTGAATAAAATATTATCTGATTGCCTTGCGGATATTCTGCTAATCGAGTCCAAATGGATGACTCAAACTACAACGCAAATGCCACGTCACCGCCAGCAGAATCAACCATTGGACTACAAGACGTTCTTTTCAACATCGCTATAGGGTTCATTGGCGCAATCGGTATTATCGGTAACGGGACAGTTTGCTTTGTAATAGTGAAGGTGAAATCTATGAGAACTGCAACAAATATACTGATTTTAAACCAGTCTATATTGGATCTTACTATTTCACTTGTATTCGTACTTAGTTATCTTGGGCCGACAATTGATCCGTTATCTGATACATTTAGAGAAACTGTCTTCTGCAAATTCTGGTTATCACTTTATCCTCTATGGTCGTTATTCGATTCATCCTCTCTGAACCTCGTTGCCATCACGTTTGAACGTTATTTTGCTATCGTCCACCCTGTTATGCATCACAACAAATTTAAAGGAAGTGGTGTCCGTGGCGTCATTGCAGCCATTTGGCTTTCTGGGTTTTCGATTGAATGGTTCTGGCCGTACGTACATTTTATTGACAACGGTGTATGTACAAATCATTTTAATGATAAACACCTGGAACGATTCGTCGGATTAATGGTGTTCTTCGTGGAATACTTATTTCCGATGACGGTTTTTATTTACTGTTATGTCAAGATTTTCATTGTGTTGAGAACCCGCGTGAAGGAACACGCCACTAATACTGTTGCATCGAACCAAGGAAGCACGTATACTAAAGCATCACAAAACGTCACAAAGACCCTGTGTGTGGTGGTCATAACATATTTTGTGTGTTGGACGGTGCCATCTCTAGCATATTTTCAAAACTGGGTATTTGGCGGGCCACTCGATTGGAACGGAGCATTTTACAAATTCACGGTGCTGTCTGTGTTTTGCAATGTATGCTGTAATCCTATTATATACGGACTGATTTGGGAGCACTTCAGAAAGGCTCTTAAGCAAGTGTTCGCCTGTAAAAAGAGCAATAAAATAAGCCCGGAGCAAAGTGTTGCCACGGTTACACGGGCCTAACACAGGCATTTTAAAATAATAATACTATGACTACAATTTGCTAGTCCAGCATTAATTCTTCATATCAATTCATATTACAAGACTACTTTTACACCTATATCAAATTTCTTCATTGCTATTGAGTAAAGTTTTTATGTGTATGATTCGTTGTAGCTGTGGTAGCATACTAGTAGTTGTACTCCAATATATTCGTTATTGTTTATATTATAATTCTAGTCATGACTTGATTTAGTGATTTACTTAGAGTTGTCTATATATATATCGAATGGCACAATATTGTAACAATGGCTCAACACGTGATTCGTGACCCAGTGCAATATAAATAATGGTATGTCCATATCATTTAGCACAATAAAACGGCTGAAGATAGCTCACATTATGAACTTTTTTTTTATAAATCGCGCCCTCTAGTGACAAAGCGATTCCATGACGTAAAAGGGTGACACAACAGCTGTTCAAATCGTCGATATCGTTTTGATCTGTAGTCATCCATCAACAAAGATTATGTTTTTTGAGACATTTCAATATATTGTAGATGACAAACGACTTGGCAATCAAATGCAGTGGTCGATTTGAACGACATTTCCTCCACGCATATATACTTTTTGACATCATAATAGCCCACCAACACTAGAAAGCGCGATTTATAAGAATGGTGTTTCAGTCCTTCAATTTGGAATATGATGTCAGTTGATGTTGCCGTTTTGAATAAACCAAATGCCTTCCCCTGATCCAGTGTACCTCAAGAGAATTCCTTTATTATATATTAGTAATCTTTTTTCCAATTCATTTCACGGTTGGTAAGTTCAATATTATGAGGTTATTACGAGGATACCGTAAAGTATACACGAAGGCAGTATAGCGGATGCAACGGCGTACTGTCTGAGTACTTTACGGTATCCTCGTAATAACCTTAATATACATCTTTTCCTCCCAAGTATACATCATGGGAATGCCGAAATCCAAAATGTTTAGAACAAAATGGAGTCCGGTCAAACCCTGGTGGCAGCCAAGTTTGTTTTTATTATCATGAATAGAGGACGCGTAATCATTCCATATTTGGAATTCGCATTTCCTAATATGGTAGGATGAAAACACCCCGAAAAATACCGCAAAATTACGGCACGCTGTAACTTATGGCGTTACGGTGACAGATGTATAATAATATTAAATATAGCATATTCGTCCACTGCCACTTGTTATTATTATTATTATTATTATTATTATTATTACAAAATTGCAATTAAAAAAAGACGAATAAAGTCGCAGATGTCTTGGTTACAAATTCAGCTCTATTACGATATCATAAACACAGAGAAAATATCAAGTAAGCCTGTGAACTTAAGAAGTTAATTTATCGTAGCCAGGAAATTGACTAAAACAACTTAAAGGCGCATTGTGGACGAAACCACTATTGTTGTTTGATATGTCATGCTGAAAACCGAGCGGAAATAAGTTTTATCGTAAACGTAAAATGTTTTGTAGTACAATCACGTACAGTGATTTTCCTTATACATATCGAAACAATCAGTGCGCATGCGTATTAAACAAATATCGTCGAATGAACGCTTGTGTGTTGCATGATAATCCAATGTATTATACATCAAGACGTATCTCACAAATCAATATTACACACTTACTAGTGAAAAAAATAATGTTCTCGTCTATTAAATCTTCGAGCAATTATATAGTGAAAACAATTATTAAAAGGTGGTGGTCATCGCTCCACGCATGCGCGATATAAAACACACACACACACATATATATATATATTACATGTACCATGCAGTAGCCCGTTGGCTTTTGATCTTCCCACTTACTAATCTGATTTGTCCTTGCGCCCAATTTGAAGTTGTGGCGTCACGAACCAGTCACCTCCTAAAATACCGAAAGATAGCTCGATTAATGACTAGAAAAATTACTTTGGTTAAAACTGTTTTAAATATGATCAAACTGAACGTTGTATACCTATAGGTATACGTTTTTATTCTATATTTACAGTGACAAGCACGGAATTCATTTTCTCCACTGATAGAACTAGTCCAAAAACTAACCGCAACGCGTTGTTTTACGCAATAGACGCCTAGAACGCGTGCAAACAAATGATAATTAAAGTTAGCTTCGTGAGGTATCCTCTGGCGTAACAGCTGGAAATGCATATATGTAATAAATATGATATTAAAATTCATAACCGTGTATATATAATATTCGACTCGTGTATTATTTTGTATATGTTAATTACTACACCCGTTTAATATTACACGGTATTTAATTGGATATCCTCTACATAGTGTATAATTTACTGTTGATTAAACACCTTACAATTCAGTGGAGGGTTTTCTGTTGGGGGAAATGTGATTAATCTAAATAATATAACTAGGCTACATCAAGTCTGGGAGTTGTTTATAACTTATTTATTAAAATCAATTATTCTCAAAAACTCATTACTGAACTGAAACTAAATATAAACGTCATACCGACGCTGATAGCTGAAGTAGATAATATGCATACATTGATGTTGACAGTTGGTGTTTCTTTCAAATATATAAATACGTTGATAATATTCGTCAATATAGTAACGGCGATAATTTTATATAGAGTGTCTTTCATTAAAGCGGGAGGGTCGTCACCTGCGCACGCGCGGGAATTGGGCCCCAATCGATGATAACAACACACGCTAAAAACGCAACGGTTCATGGGTAGACGTTTGTTTGTAAACAATGACACGCTATGGCCACCTGACGCATGCGTATGTGACGACTCCCTTGCTTTAAATATTGTATTTATTGTATTTTTCATCGTCAAAACAAGTATATGACGGATGCATATTCTTTGTTACAATGTCTGATGTTCATTGTGTACAATTTGTTTTTTAATTTTACACTATGGTTGCCCTCACGTGACCCAGACATTGTGATAAATTAACGTGCTGTTGTAAACAGTTTGAATATATTTGGATTTTACATTGTTATTTTTTCGCAGACACGAAGTGAGCGAGACTGTCAGAGATATGCCATGTCAATATAAATGATTGAGAGAAATGCTACGCCACACTGAACTAAACACTACACTGTCCTCCTTATCATGCTATTGCACCAACATCATTTATTATGCGTTGTATTGGCCAATTAATTTGTATTTTATTTGCCAAACAAATCGTAATAATTGCCATCCATAATTAGTTTTGTTTTACGGTCCACATTTCTACATACGTCAAATAAAATGTTGCAGAGTTTTTCATATAAACATTTTCTCATCTGCCTAAAAATATGTGTTTTATATTCAGTTGTTAACATCACCATTACTTAATGGGATTATTCTAAACCGAGATGTAGTACTTTAATTTTGATAATTGATGGCAGGGAGCCTTATTTCAAACCTTTGATTGAAATGAGATGCATTTTAGAATACTTAATTTAATACAGTAAAGAAACGTAACGCTGCAGGGCTTGCTCCAGTCGCTATTTAGATTTTACCCTGTGTTAGTTTCAGTCCCTGCTGATTTATTTCAAAATACAACTCATCAGATTAGGTTATCATTTTATTCGAATTTAAATTCAGAATTAAATTTGCTTGAGCACGCAGACGCGGGTGTACTAGCGGGGATTCGGCTAACGTGCCCTAATGTATGAATTTTATGAATTGACAAATACTGTCTCCGTAAACGGTTTAAAAAATAGGATTTAGAAGGTGGTGAGTTACAGAATCAAAATGTATAAATTAATTAGTACGTGCCAGTAATTCATGTATGTAAAATTATATTTTATAATGAGATACGAACAAAACAAATATGGTAAACGGGGCCCGGGCGTGATATGGAAAATTATTGCACGGTTCGCGCATCGGGATTCCCATAGCGTTACGTGGCCAGGCAATACGAGGTATATGATAAGATAAAGAAATAACCTACCACAGTAGTAAATAAAACGATATAATGCCAATTCACGACATATGCACCAAATGTAGGACAGTGAATTGTGCAACATCGAGTTATATACCGGACCGCTATTGTATTTTACCAACATCATTTTAAATGTCATTCTGAGACATAGGAATAATTGTCAAGCACCACAGTGATATAGTATCCGAAACGCTCTTCTTGCCATTCGTTTAATGGAGTGGACCGTGGAACTAACATACGGCGATTATATGTACATCAAGAGGTAGTGCAAATGCGCACCCTTATTTCGACGCTTCTAGGTGTTTTCGTTTTTTATGTGAATTACTCGTAACCGGGAGATGATCATCGAGCAACACGACTGCATCGGTTGGTCAGCCCGACCGTAGTCGCCGCACCGTGTACATTGCTAGCGCCAACGTATTATTTTCACCAATGTACTTTTATTACTCATTGTATATCATACATACATATCGATTTCTTTAAATTGTTGATTTAACCGGAAAGTTGCTGTTGTATTTCGAGTGACCAGAATTGCATGCACTGTTTTGTCTTCGTGCGAGCAGTCATGTGTAAACAATCGACCTAGCAAGTTGATACCTACAAAAATATTAATAGTGACAGACATTTGTGAAGGTATCATGAAATATAAATACATACGAACCATTGGAAGTTTGATGAAACATATTAAATGTATGAATAATTATTTTCATCGGCGGGAGAGATTTTAAAATGCAGCCTTTTACAAAATGTTTTTACATTCTACAAGTGAATGCAAGAAAAGCTTATTCTGGTTATATATAATTGATATACAACATAGAACTTGTGATATGTATGTTTTACAAACCTCAAAATTACTCGAGGTACCTCTCCAGTGCCGTAAATCTGTTTAATAATCTTTTTTTATTAAAACATTCTTCCACATTTGCAAACCCTCATCGAACCATTCTTTTTATGTCGAACACTATACAAAATGTTTTTTCTGACTATTCGTATCTATTGTATTTGAAATATATAAATGTTATTTCATCTGTAACATTAAGAACCAACGTTTCTACCCTAATGCGTCTTACAGTTGCGTTTCATATTGACTCAGGTGATG